AGCGTTTAATACGGACACAATTGTGGGCTCACTCCAATATGCATATTCTAGCAACACTTAACAGTAAAAGAGAATTCCACCAACTTCATCAAAAAAGAGAATTCAACCAAGGGGAAAAAAACAGTGAAAAAAGGAAAAGAAACCTTTAGAAGTTTGATTCCAGATGAAAAGACAACTAACAGTACAGCCATTGACTTAATCCAAAGAACTGAATCAGAACTTAGACCCAGAAATTTCTACTCTCTTACTAGATTAAAACAGTAACACAGCATTTGTGACTTAAACCCAAAGAACCCTTTTGAGAAAAAACTCATTTCCCCCCAGAGGACAAGTATAATCAGGAAATTGGCCAACTGGATTTTCTATAGCAAAGAAGATGAAAGGAATTTAAAAAATAAAAAGTTATAAACTTTTAGAGCTTTATGCATCAAAAAGGTCAGGCTTATACGCTAAGCAGTATTGGTCAAGCATGTACACCTGAGAAAGTTTCTGAAATTGCTCATGTATAATGAGGATAATATAGTATTATTGTCAATGCAGAAAATGTGGGTTAGAATTTAATACCAGGCAGAAAGAAAGAGACACTGTTGGTTGTGATGAGAGTGTGTTCCATGACATGGAGATGACGACCTCCATTAATTAACTGATTGATAAGGAGCTTTATGCATCAAAATGATTGTTGCAGGACTGTTCTTTTCGTAGATATTTTGTACCATTAATTAACTGATTGATAACAACGTACACAAGTGCAAATGTGATATATAATTCGTTTTCTCTTGACTTTTTCTTGAGAGAATTTTGTTTTCTCTTAACTTAAAAAAGTGATTAATCATTTTATATTAATCACCATCATCAGCAAGATCTGATGCAACTTATTATCCTTTTTTCTTTTCCAAATGAAACAAAATCTAAAATGAGATGACTTACCAATAACATTATTTAAGTTATGCTCATAGTCAGTAGATTTTAGTAACATCGGACATTCTCCAATAAGTATTTAAGTTAAAGATTTGTTACAGAATTCTAATCTCAGCCGTTGAATGACATCTAAGAAACTAGTAACACATTTAATGAATGTAATTCAATGATCAAGATTAGAAGTATGTAACTAATGTTTAACATAAATACTTATTGAAGAATTCTTAACATATATGAATTATCATCTACTCAAAATTTTAAATAAAGTGGAAAATTGGTGTGACTAGACCAAATAGTCATACGAGGGAATGACAAGAAAAAATCAGTGGACCAGCCGACCTTCAATTTATCAGCAAAAGAACAGCACAATAAAACCAAGAATGGTGGACCCAATAAGCCAAATGCACATACATGCCTTGTGAAGAATTTCTGATGCGCTTCTGGATGGACCAGGGACCCGTGAGTGGACCACCAATAATGGTCCATGGCTCAGTTGGGTTTAAATCAATCATAATTCAGAATGGTGTTTGCTTGTATAATTTATTGGCTTTACCTGGAATGGAAGCCACAGGTAGGGTAGCACGTGGTCCATATATTAAGTATTAAGAATTGGCTGTTTTCACAAAAGGATTTTGAGCAAACATCTAGTATCGAATATTCTTCTCTAAAAAGTTCCCAACTTTATTGTTGAAAAATCGAAAAGAAAGTAATCGAAATATAAGAAGTTATGAAGAAAGTTGGGTGTGAAAAGATGTAAGGAAAAAAAAAAGTGTGTAGTAAAATGTCTGGTCTAGTCTACGGATATTTTATTGGGCTACAAGCCAGGCTCAAACCTCATTCTAGCCCATATTTAGAGTACGGGCCAATCTGTTGGGCTTTTTTGGCAGGCTTCGACCCCAATTCACGGGGTACCAATTTCCCTTAATTTTTTTATTTTTTATTTTTATACAAGTGATATTAGAGAATGTGAATCGAACCTAAAGACCTATTTATACGTGGATATAATCATTTGAGCTACAAATCACTCACTTTTTTTTCACTTTTTTTCATTATCTCATAGTTTAGACGCTTTCATCCATATATTAATCACCATCATCAGCAAGATCTGATGCAACTTATTATCCTTTTTTCTTTTTCAAATGAAACAAAATCTAAAATGAGATGACTTACCAATAACATTATTTAAGTTATGCTCATAGTCAGTAGATTTTAGTAACATCGGACATTGTCCAATAAGTATTTAAGTTAAAGATTTGTTACAGAATTCTAATCTCAGCCGTTGAATGACATCTAAGAAACTAGTAACACATTTAATGAATGTAATTCAATGATCAAGATTAGAAGTATGTAACTAATGTTTAACATAAATACTTATTGAAGAATTCTTAACATATATGAATTATCATCTACTCAAAATTTTAAATAAAGTGGAAAATTGGTGTGACTAGACCAAATAGTCATACGAGGGAATGACAAGAAAAAATCAGTGGACCAGCCGACCTTCAATTTATCAGCAAAAGAACAGCACAATAAAACCAAGAATGGTGGACCCAATAAGCCAAATGCACATACATGCCTTGTGAAGAATTTCTGATGCGCTTCTGGATGGACCAGGGACCCGTGAGTGGACCACCAATAATGGTCCATGGCTCAGTTGGGTTTAAATCAATCATAATTCAGAATGGTGTTTGCTTGTATAATTTATTGGCTTTACCTGGAATGGAAGCCACAGGTAGGGTAGCACGTGGTCCATATATTAAGTATTAAGAATTGGCTGTTTTCACAAAAGGATTTTGAGCAAACATCTAGTATCGAATATTCTTCTCTAAAAAGTTCCCAACTTTATTGTTGAAAAATCGAAAAGAAAGTAACCGAAATATAAAAAGTTATGAAGAAAGTTGTGTGTGAAAAGATGAAAGAAAAAAAAAAGTGTGAAGTAAAATGTCTGGTCTAGTCTACAAGCCAGGCTCAAACCTCATTCTAGCCCATATTTAGAGTACGGGCCAATCTGTTGGGCTTTTTTGGCAGGCTTCGACCCCAATTCACCGGGGACCAACTTCCCTTAATTTTTTTATTTTTTATTTTTATACAAGTGATATTAGAGAATGTGAATCGAACCTAAAGACCTATTTATACGTGGATATAATCATTTGAGCTACAAATCACTCACTTTTTTTTCACTTTTTTTCATTATCTCATAGTTTAGACGCTTTCATCCAAACCATTGATGCTACTATCTTCATGCACTATTTTACTTGAGGCCTTCTCAGTCCTCATTCTCTTGGGTCTGCTTTTCACTTCTTGCTCCGTTTTATTTACAAACGAAACGAAAGATTGAAGCCGTCTAGATTGTGAGCTCTCACAGTCAGAATCAGGCCGCTTGTAGTATTTGTGCACCATGCGAATAACATGAAGAACAAGAGCAAGAAAGCAAGCTATGCCACTCAGCAGAAAAAGGCCCCAAAAGCTCTTTATCTGAAGGCGATCTACAGCTTGCTTTGCTCCTTCTGCACTGCAAGCACTTTTCATCAGCCACTTGTCATGAATCTTCTGAAGATCACCCTTCTCTGATAGTTTAAGTACTGCAGTTGACATGTCAATTGCTAGTGGAGAGTCCCTTGGAAAGGCCTAAAATGAAAAACCAACTATTATTATAAGCATACGATAGTTATGTTGTCAAGGCTCAGATTGAGATTGACAGAATGACAACATAAGGTATCAAACTATATATATGCCGAAAAAAACAGAAACGAAAAAACCAAATGTCATGAACTTTTGTACAATGAGATTGAAGGATATGATACTTACAAAACCCCATCCCATTTTGGTGAATTCTTGACCTACAATGCTATATCTGCATTGAGAAGAGAGGAAGAGTTCCATGTATGCACGCTCATCGATCACTGCAGCAACACCGCCTGCGCTGGGGCCATCTTGCAAGGCTTTCTCATATTCTTCTGGTGAGTTGAGAGGTACAAGTCTGGACCTGTGTATGTTTAGCTCATCGGTTAAGTAGTTTTCGGCAAATGAACCCTTCAGGAAACCAATGGGATCACCGCCTGTTGCTAGACTTTCAATCCCTTTAACAGGTGAAGAAAGCTGCTCCACTGTGAGGATTGACGTCAGGCTTGCAATGTAACTTGAGTTGAGTATTAGAACTACAAATAGCCATATGATTAGCATGAAACGACCGAGCGTGCTGCCTGTTTTTTCTTCTGCATATGTTACCAATAAGGAATAGGATCAAACAGTTATATAAAGTAACATTTAACATAATATAAACTTCTTGGTTCATTTCACTTACTCTGGGAAAAGAACAGAGTTGAAAAGCTAAACCTGCGAGAAGAAAGCAATAATTATATACCAATTAGAGAGTTTGGATCAAGAGATGATTAAAACAAACCAAGAAAATCTTGGTGGAATGTATTGAAATTTTGCATTTGAAGATGTGGATTGAAGCACTTACCAAATAATTGTGACAAATTGCTTTCTTGGAGGGCCCCGAAAATCCTCGTCTGTCCTAGGCTCCAAAATCCAAACTACTGTTCCCACAACTAGGAAGAAAATGCCTGTGACACCCCACATCATTGGTGTGAAAGGTCTCAGAAAAGCCCAAGCACTAGAGTTCGACTTCCTTATTGGAGCAACCACAACTAAACCAGACTCAATATATGGCTGTGTGAAATCCACCATCTTTGTTCTGCCAGTGGTGATGGTAATATCTCCAACCACACCATCAAACTCCTGTATAAAGATGGAAATCCAAAGAATTAATAATTATAGTAATGTCAAGAAAAGTCCAAATAGTTTCTGTTTTGTAGTTTATACTTACACCAATTTGGATCAAGTGCAGAAGTTCATGGTTTTCTGGGTTCTTTTTACCATCCCCAAAAGGGACAAATTTATATGGGACACCATATGGTAGCTCATTCAATGCAGCTTGAAAGACCTCAATGCAATAGCCAGTGAATTCTGTGCCTTTTATGCCCACAAACTCAAGATAGCTAACTCGATTTGGGACGCCAATCCTAAGCTTTCTTCCGTTGTCAGGGAAAACCCACCCACGAGGCTTCTGAGTTGTTTGTCCAGGCCAGATGACGCTGTATAGTCGTTCAGTACCGGTGCTGGAGCCATTAGACTGCAGCTTCCTTTGAGGCTTTTCTGGTGGATCAAGTGAGAAACCAGAAGAGTTGGACCAATAACCAATTGTCCTAGTCCCTGTGCCAATCACATTGATGACTTCAAATGCAGGATTAATCAAGTTCCCATCTGGATTAAACTTAACTGGCCCAGTTAAACCAGTTGTGTTAACCTCTAAAATGCTTTGGAGTAGCTGGCCGCCACCATTGAACATGTTCAAAGCATCAAGATTCAACTTCCCTCCGCCTAACTCGTTTAAGTTTGAGTCATTTGAAAATGAAATATTTCCCCCACGAGCAAAAAATGAATCAAGGGCAACAGCAAGATGCCTTACAGAATCATAGGCATATAGACCATACGTATTTAGCCCAAAAGAAGAGCCATTCACTCTTCTTGCACTAGTTAAGTTGCCCCACCATGATTTAAATTTCTTTTTGAGCTCCGATTCTGGTGTGTGCATTTTTAATGTAAGAACCCCTTGAATGTCATCTGTTGATATAAAAGGCAGGGAAGGATCTGTATCTATTATGGTAGAGAACCAATCTGTAGCAATCCAGACATATCCACTAGCCATCATCATGAGGTTTCGTGCTTCAGTAAGCACTTGTAGACCCCAACTGGTATAAATGTGCAGGATCAGAATCCTGGACTCCATTGAAGAAACACTAATGAGTGCGTTGGTGATTTCATCTTTTGTTGCTTTGGGGTTCAGAGGCACTTTGTATGAAATTTTACACCGTTTTTTGGCTATCTTGTCCCCCAAGGCAGCAATGGCATTTCTGCCAAAATCATCATTCACATATATTGCTATGACATCTCTCCACTCGTAGTAGAAAACAAGGTCTGCTACTGCAGTCATCTGAAAGAGGTCACTTCTTGTTGTCCTAACCAAGAATGGGAACTGAGTTGGAGACAGAGTAGGGTCTGTTGCTGCAAATGATAATAGTGGGACTTTTGGCTCATCTGCAATATGTGAGATTACATGAGCAGTAGCTGAGAATTGGGGGCCAATTATGGCCACTGTGTCATTCTCCAAGAACAGCAAAGCTGTCAAGCAACAAGAAATATCCATCATTCTTACTAAGACTTGTGTAAAGGAACTGATAAAACTTTTGAGTGAAAACATGGGAAATTTAATTACTGTGTACCCTCAATGATGCCCAGAAAGTCACTAGATTTGGTATTCTGCATTTTAAGTGTCAGCTTTTTTCCATTGAGAATTTCTGGATCAGAATTGACATCTTCAACTGCAAGGGCTATTGCAACTTTTGCAATTTTGCCAATGACAGAATCGAAAGTGAAAATCGCGGCTATGTTGACAACGTCAGGTCTTGCGGTAGTAACAGTAGCACCAACACCAAGCCCATTTGAGGAAGCACCATTATAGAAAACCATAAATAGCATCAGCAACAAGGCTTTGTTCATGGTGGTCTGCACACTGCAAAAGGACCGAAATATCTAATGGGAAAGAAAAGTTGGTAATTAACAACAAAAATAAAAGAACATGCTCCAAAAACACATGCATGAAGTTGACCAAATATCCAACAAAGCAATATGAATAAGATGAATTTGAAGGACATAAAGAAAAAGGAACGAAGCTTACATTATTTGCTCTCAACTCAAGACAAATATGTACGCAAAAGCAAGAACAAGCAAACGGATTATATAAGCACCGAAGCTACACTGGCAAATGAGAGCTACCCCATCAGTCTGCCATGTCTAGGTGTGAATTGGACCGCACGCTGTTTGGAAATTGCTCAGTGAAAGACAAAAGTTGTAACAAAAGGTCAGAAACCAAAATGGATAGAATAATAACTCTGAATTAAAATATAAAGAGAAACATAACGCAATTCATGATAATTTTCTCTTTTAATCACCATAAATAGTATACAACTATGTGTCTCTCTCGTCAAATAATGTAAATGAGACAAAATATAGAATTATATATAAATATACAACCGTTAATAGGGAAGAATTACTCGATATAGGAAGAGAGGGAGGATATGCTAAAGTGGACTAACCATGAAACTAATTGGAGGACAGGAGGTGACTTTGGAAGGGACATTGATAAATGATCATGGATGCAGAAAAATATCAAGCGACAACAACCAAGTTCCATTGGGTGAGCGAGAGGGGTTTCTGTCATTTCAAGAAACCCACGTATTTCCGCAGACTTCAAATCAATCCTCCTTATCTCACAAATTATAATCCGTGCACGTGTTATAATTTGTATGAACTCGTAACACTATGTCATATGCATTATTATATTAACATTCCACAATGCAATTAAGGGCATGGCATGTTAATAACGTGGCCTAACAAGTCCACCAAGCAGCCTACTACAGGTCAACACAGTGATCCAACACCGTGATCTGCACCTGTTGCGTAAATCTCAATTATGCTAGTGCTTGTTGACCGTTTTCTCTCTGTGTAATATATATATGTTGAACAACTATTAAAACACATGGTTGTGTAAAATTAAAATCCATCATTTTTGTTCGGCTTGTGCTGATTCTTGATGTCACCTACCACAGCATTGCCTGTTACTAGACTTTCAATCCCTTTAATGGGAGAAGAAAGCTGCTTCACTGTGAGGATTGATGTCAGGCTTGCAATGTAGCTTGAGTTGATTATTAGAACTACAAATAGCCATATTATGAGCACAAAGTGACCAAGAGAGCTGCCAGTTTCTTCTCCTGTATATGTTACAAAAGACTAAGAACCAGTTATATTTGTAAGATTGGTGCATAACACAAGTTTCCCTATAGATGTATAAGTCAAGTAGCATGGATACAGAACTAAAGCGCTATGTAGTAAACTTACTCTGGGAAAAGAACAGAGTTGAAAAGCTAAACCTGCAAAGCCCCACAGAAAAAGGATATAATATATGACATACCGGTTGGGGAGTTCGTCCCAATTAAAGAGATGAAGATCAACCACCCAAGGAAATACTTGTATATAATTTGCTACATTTGCATTTTGATATATGGATTGAAACACTAACCATAGAATTGTGACACATTGTTTTCTTGGAGGGCCCCGGAAATCCACATTTGTTCTACGCTCCAAAATCCAAACAACTGCTCCCACAGCTAGGAAGAAAAGACCCTGTGACAGTCCACATTATTGGGGTAAAAGGTCTCAGAAAAGCCCAGGCACTAGAGTTCAATTTCCTTATTGGAGCAACTACAACAAGTCCAGACTCGATATATGGCTGTGTAAAATCCACCATCTTTGTTCTGCTAGTGGTAATGGTAATGTCTCCTACCACACCGTCAAGCTCCTGCATGAATATGGAAAACCAAAAAACTATATTAAGATGAGAAACATGCATACAATATATGTTAAGCAAGTCTAAATAATTTTATTTTGTAATTTATACTCACACCATTTTGCATACTGCGCAGAATTTCATTGGGTTCTTGGTTTCTTTTCTCATCTCCAAATGGGACAAACTCATATGCCACTCCATATTGTAACTTGTTAAAGGCAGCTTGGAAGACCTCAATACAATAACCAGTGATATCAGTGCCTTCTACATTCAGAAACTCGCGGTAGCTAACTCAACGTGGAACACCAATTCTGAGCTTTTTTCCATTGTCAGGGAAAACCCAGCCACGAGGCTTCTGAGTTGTCTGTCCAGGCCAGATAACGCTGTATAGTAGCTGAATACTGGTACTGGAACCATTAGACTGCAACTTATTTTGGGGCTTTTCTGGAGGGTCAACTGATAGGCCAGAAGAATTGGACCAATAACCAATAGTCCTAGTCCCTGTGCCAATCACATTGATGACTTCAAATGCAGGATTAATCAAGTCCCGATCTGCGTTGAACTTAATTGGCCCAGTTACACCCGTTGTATCAACCTTTACAATGCTTTGGAGCAACTGGCTGCCACCATTAAAAAATTTCAAAGCATCAAGATTCAACCTTCCTCCTTGTAAATCACTTAAGTTTGAGTCATTGGAGAATGAGACATTTCCCCCACGAACGAAAAATGAATCAATGGCACTAGCAAGAAGCCATACAGAATCATAGGCATATAGACCATACGTATTTAGCCCGAAAGAAGAGCCATTAACTCTTCTCACTCTTGTCAAATTGCTCCACTGCGATTTAAATTTTGTTTTGAGTTCCGATTCTGGTGTGTACATGCGCAATGTAAGAACCCCTTGAATGTCCTTTGTTGGTAGGGAAGGATCTGTGTCTAATGTGGTAGGCAACCAATCAGTAGCAATCCATACATATCCACTCCCCATCATCATGAGGTTTTATGCTTCGCTAAACACTTGAAGACCCCAATTGGTATAAATATGTACGATGAGAATCCTAGACTCCATCGAAGATGTGCGAATCAGTGCTTTGGTAATATCATCTTTTGTTGCTTTGGGGTTCAGAGGCACTTTGTATGAAACTTTGCATCATTTCTCAGCTAGCTTATCCCCTAAAGCAGCAATGGCATTTCTCCCAAAATCATCATCTATGTAAATTGCTATGACCTCTCTCCACTCATAGAAAGCAACAAGGTCTGCTACTGCAGTCATCTGAAAGAGATCACTTCGTGCTGTCCGAACCAAGAAAGGGAACTGAACTGGAGACGGTGTGGGGTCTGTTGCTGCAAATGATAATAAAGGGACGTGTAGCTCATTTGCAATGTGTGAGACCACACGAACAGTAGCTGAGAATTGGGGGCCAAGTATGGCTACTATGTCATTCTCCATGAACTGCAAAGCTGTGAAGGAACAACAAAAGTATCAACTTAGTTCTTGGATTCTATGACTTAAGTAAGGGAACTTCTAGGAGACATAGGAAAGTCAACAATTTTGTACCCTGCTCAACGATTCCCAGAAAGTCACTAGATTTGATGTTCTAAATCTTAAGTATCAGTTTTGTTCCATTGAGGAGTTTTGGATCAGAATTAACATCTTCAACTGCAATGGATATTGCAAGTTTTGCAATTTCGCCAATGACAGAATCGAAAGGGAAAACAGCACCAATGTTCACAATGTCAGGTCTTGCAGTAACATTAGTACCAAGTCCGCTAGAAAATCCATTATATAAAACCATCAACACCAAGAGCCAAACTATATTCATCGTAAACCCCCAATTTTCACCTTGCTTTGCAAAGGAAGCACACCGGCCACCCAGAAAGCGGTAGAATCAACTGGACTTCAAACTCATACACTGGCATAGTTAAGAAACACCAAAAAATAAGCAAGCAACTAAGACTTTCATCCAGTAATATGAAGAGAACAACTAGGTGCTGAAAGAGTATGTACACATAAGCTCAACATCATAAACTCCACAAGAAGTAGATAAATAATTAGAAATTCCCATTAATAACTAGATCTAATCATGAAACATAAACAGACAAATGATAAGTTGAGCCCATAACCTAGAGTTTCTGCCAAATTACCAACTAATCAAGCCCATGAAGAGACAACAGACACAAAATGAAAGTAAAAAGCAGCTTGTGAGGAAAGATTTTTACTTTGAGGAAAAAGGAAGAAAGTTTAATACGGACACAATTCTGGGCTCACACCAATATGCATATTCTAGCAACATTTAACAGTAAAAGAGAATTAGAGCAAGGGAAAAAAAAAAACAGTGAAAAGGGACCTTCAGAAGTTTGATTCCAGATGAAAAGACAACTAACAATGCAGCCATTGCCTTAATCCAAAGAACTGAACCAGAACTAGACCCAGAAATTTCTACTTTCTCTTACAAGATTAAAACAGTAACACAGCATTTGTGACGAACCCAAGAACCCTTTTGGGGAAAAAACTCATTTCCCTAGGTGTCCCTCAGGAAATTGGCCAACTGGATTTTCTAGTTAAGAAGATGAAAGGAATTTATAAAGCAAAATGTTATAAACTTCAGAGCTTTATGCATCAAAGAGGTAACGTTATACGCTAAGCAATAATGGTCAAGCATTTACACCCAAGACTATAATAAGTAGAAAGTTCTGAAATTGCTGGTGTATAATGAAGATAATAGTATTGTCATGCAGATAATGTGGGTTGAAAATTTATACTAGGTAGAAAGAAAGAGGAGTGAGTGTGATGTCTCAATCTCAGTCCAGAAAGCTCTAACCTTTGAATGGTTGACAGCTATAACCTTTGTTTAGTAATTTATTGTTAGTTAGTTGTAAGCCTGAGTTTTGACCAGATCAGATCAGAATCAGGGGTTAGCTACTGATTTAGGAATTTTTCAAATTTTGAACTTGTTTTTTTTATATGTTCATGATACAGAGTATGAATCTTAAGGTTTAAAGTGCAGAGAGTTTCACTATCTGTCGTTTTGAGAGGTGAAAGTTAGCAGTTGAGATGGAGCACAGCTGCACAGGGAAATGAAATGAGCAAAAAAGATTACCATTTCAAGTATTTCAACTCAAATCATTAACATAACGCCAGCCGTTGTGCTGCAGAAAACAAATAAGAACATAACATATTAAAATTGAAGTATCAAACTACCCAAACAAACACATACATACATAGCTACATATATCATATATGCATAGACGTGTTCTAGATCTTGACTGAAGAACAAACAAATTGATTGCTTTTACCGATCGAAAGCTTTCTGCTTTTCTGGTACTTGGCGATTGACGCAGCGATTAAGTCCATTTTCAGGCGTGGAACCATCGATCTCTCGAGTGCTCTTTCCTCTTTGGTGGGAATGTGAAAGGATTTTACGCAGGAAGGTTAAAGTCATTAAGAATTTTATAGACTTTTAAGAATTTTAGGAGACGCAGGAAGGTTGAATACTGGAATTTATTAGGAGCTTTTGGAAATTAATAATTAATTAATTAAAATGCCTTTTTGGACAACCATTGCAAGTTGCAACAAAGAAAGCAGAACACTCGCATACACGTTATTAACACAAAGCCACCTATATAACTATCAGTCTTCCACAGCTAGTTTGATACAAGTCACGTCATTTAATTTTGCGCGACGAAAAACATTGGTCACGCAAAGTCTTAAAAAAATTTATTAAATAAAATAAAATTCCCGCATCCCATTTTTGGTACCCGTCCAAATTTTTAGAGTTTTGCGCGACGAATACTAACGTCGCACAAATATTTGCGCGATGAAATATTTTGTCACACAAGGTTTTTGACTTTTTGTTTTATTATTTCTTTAATATTAATTTAAGTATATTAATTTTTTCAAATTTTTACTTTTTAAATTTAATTTAATTGTATGATTTTTTTCATTACTTTAATTTAAATTGATATTAATTTAATTATATTAATTTTTTTGAATTTTTACTTTTTAAGTTTAATTTAATTGTATGATTTTTTTAAACTACTTTAATTTAAATTGACATATTCAAAATAAAATTACATATGAAAAATAGTGATCAAATTATCCAATAAATATATATATAATATTCAAAATGTACACATAAATTAACAAAGTACAATAATAAAATCCTAATACAAGCGTATTGTGGTGGTAGTGGCGGAGAATATGTTTTGATAGCTTCCTAATCCTCAACTTTAGCCGTCAAAGTCTCGATGATTCCCTACAAAAAAGAATTGTCAAATAACAACAAAAAAAAGAATGCATAATCTCCCCTAAAATTGTTATACCACAAATCCAACCCAAACTCCAATCCCTCCCCTTTACTTAACCCCAAACCCCACACAAACGATCAAAACTAACTCCAAAAACACATATTAATGAAAAAAATTTAAAATTTGGAGAGAATATACCTTTTGGCAAGATTGAGAGTGAGTGAGAATGAGAGAGA